ACTCCTCAATACTTTGGAAAGGTCCCTAACTTCAGATTTTTCCATTGCAATGCATCTCCTTATTTCCCAGTGTGATGTGTTTCACTCATCCTACTAAGCATTTATTATAACTCTACTCACCCTCTTTGCACATTTAATGAAATGTGCAAAGAGCTGGAGTTAGAAAATTAAAGGGGCTGAACTCGCTCAGTATTTCTTAAGCTTAAGAAACTGAAGAATAAATTCAAGCCTTGAGTTTCAATACTTAAGGATGCTTTGGGCAGAATATGAAATGATCCAGGAAGTATTCAAAGAAGGAAAGAGTATACAGAGTCATTGTACCAAAAGAAATTGGCAACACAGAAGAATTTCATGAAACAACATATGAGCAAGAGCCTGTGGTGATGAAGGAGGAAGTTCAAGCTGCTCTGAAAGAATTCCAAAAAACAAGGCCCCAGGAACTGACGGTATACCAATTGATATGATTCAACAAACAGATGTTGCCCTAGATGTGCTCACCAAGTTGTGTCAAGAAATCTGGAGGATAACTTTGCCAACTGACTGGAAGAGATCTGTATTTGTTCCCATTCCAAAGAAAAATAAGCCGACAGAGTGTGGAAATTATCAAACAATATCATTAATATCATATGCAAGCAAGATTCTGCTGAAGATTATCCAAGAACAAATGGAACAGCACATCAGCAAAGAGCTGCCAGAAGTGCAGGCTGGGTTTAGAAGAGATCATGGTGCTAAGGATATTGTAGCTAATGTTAAATGCATCTTGGCTGAAAGCAGGGAGTACTAGAGGAATGTCTATCTTTGTATCATTGACTGTTCAAAGCATTTGACTGTGTGGATCACAACAAACTGGCTAATTCTGAGAAGAATGGAAATCCCACAACACAGGATCGTCCTTATGCAAAACCTGTATGTGGACAAGGAGGCAGTCATCAGAACAGAGCAGGGGAACACTGCATAGTTCAAAATTGGGAACAGAACAGATTATCCGGATGCTGGGCTGTATGAGGAGAAGTGTGGCCTCAGGATTGGAGGAAGATTCATCAACAGTCTGTGTTATGCAGATGACACAACCCTGCTTGCTGAAACTGAGGAGGACCTGAAGCCCTTG